GGGTGAATGGGAAAGATCTAGCGTGAAAACAATGTATATGAACTTTGTAAATAGACTAGTATAAAATAAAAATTTTTTAAAAAGAATCTTTTAATATTAACACCCCCCCCCAATAATTGTGAAGATGGAGCAGGGCTGAGTAATGCTCAATGCTCTGCTGTACATGAGGTCACTGTGAGATAGAACCAACTCAACAACATAACAACATAACCAACTAAACAACAGCACTTAACAACATAATGTGAAAGCTGAGATTCAGGAAAGGGAGCAAGGCAAGGCAAAGATATAGGTCTCTATCTTTTCTTCCTCAGACATACTGTGTGAGGCAGATGTTATTACACCCAGTCCTCATTTGTCAATATGGTTAGGTTCCAAAGAAGAGATCCTTATGTCAAACTCAATGTTATTTGAAAATGAAGAATAATTACATTAGGTCACAAAACAGAGGATGACTACAACATTACAAAACTACGAAACCGCAGAGAATCATGGCTCACCCAAGTTGACATACAACTTTATCACAGCATAGTCAACCCTTTAAGGAGCCCTGGTGGCATGGTCCATAATGCATTGTGCTACAAACTGAAAGGTAAAGGTTGGCAGTTTGAATCCACTAGTCACTTCATAGAAGAGAAGGATGGGCCATTTCCTTCTGTGAAGATTTACAGCCTTGAAAACCCAAAGGACAGTCACTGCCTTCGTGGCAGTGTGTATGGTTTTGGTTTCATTACAATTTTACTTTCACCTTGTACTTCAAAATTTATTACTGTCAGGTGTAGTTTGCCAATGTGAAAAATACTTGGATAGATTTTTTTGAAACTATTGTCAGAAATGTGAAATGTCAGATAATAAGCAAGTTAATGAGAAGTACTGCCATTACACACATGATGGAGAAATGGAGGTTTCCAAAAGTGATAAAACTTATCTATAAAACCATCCAATCTACGTGTGGCAAAGATGGGCTTCAAACCCCTGGTGTGACACCAGAGCAAAGTTCTCAGCCTGCTGACTCAAAGAATATTTTATTTCCAGCATTCCAAGGCCCCTCTGGCCCTTTAGGTCAGTCAGAATCACCTACAGGGCTTGTTAAAACACATATTCTGCTGCACTCCACCTCCAGACTTTCTGAATCAGAAAGGTTGAGGTGCGGCTGGGAATTTGCATTTCTAACAAGTTCCCAGGTGGTGGTGGTAGTGATGGTGATGATGATGCTGGTCCAGGGACCACATTTTGAGATAGTGTTCTAGGCAAGCCAACAGACTTAAATAATGACTACCTCTCGGACTCTCCTCCCCCAATCCCATCTAAAAGTAACATTGGTTTGGAAACGACAACAGATACACAAAATGTGGAACGTACAGAAAACTAGGCAACAAAAGAATGGAATTCCAGCAACATTCCACCACTCCAAGATAACCATTTAACAAGGCTGGTCCTTCTCTCCTGGTCCATGCAGATGGGAGGCAGGGTGGCACCCTGGGTGTGGCGAGTTTGCCCTAGAACCTCAGGGAAGACCTTGGACAAGCCTGAGCCACGTTCCAGACTTCTCTGTGAAACTGTCATTACACTTCCATCCCTCGCTGAACTAAAGTGAATGTTAAAGGGAGCGAGTGTAGTTGGTGCTCAAGAAATGCTTGCCTGTTATTTTAGGGTTAACAAAGCATAGAACTTAGAAGCCCGCCTTTGAGGAACCCCTGCAGCCCTTCCTCCCTCCTCCACTCTCAGTGGGGACCCCAGCTTTCTCCTGCTGAGCCTGAGGCCCTGCCCACTTCCGGCCCCTGAGCGGCCGGAGCCCCGCGCACAAGCCGCCACCGCCGTTAGTGTCGTCTCGCAGCCTCTCGGTCCCGGCCGCCTGTTTTACAGCCCGAGCTTCATAATGAGGGCTTTTAACTTTTCATTCACCAGGCAGCGTAACTCGACTTTTAATAACACACCTCGTGCACGACAAAAATTTGCTCCTGGCAATCATGGTTTCGACCACAAAACCACAGCGGGGAGGCTTTCCTGGTTAACTCTTTCAGCGCTCCAGGCAGTCTGGAGCCAGCGCTCCGGGAGATCAGATAGACTGCCTGCGACTCTCCCAGTCACCCCCATCCCTCGGCGGCTTCTCTCTCCAGGACTCTGGGGAGAGAGGAGATTCTAGAGCGCGGGTGAAACAAGAGTGTAGACGGGGATCCCATTGCATCTCCCTAACTCCACTGTGACACACCTCCATTGGAGCTATCTGTGACGTGCCCGGTCACTCTGTAGCTGAACTCTCCTTTCCTAGAGTGTAAATGATGCCTGCCTCTGCAGGGCCTCTGAATGGCGGGATGAGACAGTGCAGGTGCACCTGACACACAGTAGGCCCTTCAGGTACCATTACAGTTAAGACTTTGAAGAGGTGAGGAGGTAATAGCGAGTTTGTGGCTCTTGAGACTCACAGTGGTTACTAGGGATGAGACAATTGCCACCCCCACTCCCACCCCCAGGCAAACAGTGCGCTGAGACCACGGAACAAGGCTCTGAGGTGTCAGCCTTTTTCCTGCAAGACCAGGGCTTCAGGCAGCGACTTCTGGAGACTCAGGCCGCCACCCCGGCATCCCTTGCGCAGCCCTAGCCTGGGGCGGCCCAGGGCTGCGGGCTGGAGGCACCCAGAGCTGTTTGAGGAGGCCTGGGGCTGGCGACGCTCCCCGGCGTTGGGCCCAACCACATGAAAGGTCCCTGTCCTTGCCACCCGTCAGCTGCCTCCAGCTGGTTTCTAACTACAGCGCCTTGGCCTCCATGCCCAGTCTAGATCCTGCCTGCAAAGTACCGCCTCCCACCTGAGACCTTGTAATCAAACGCCCTGTCTGTTTTAGGCCCAGTGGTTCACATGCAGGAGTTCGCTCTTTCCCCTGCCAGGTAGGTGTTATTAATCCTCACTTAATGGATGAAGAAACAGGACTGGGAAGAGGACATATTCATCAGGAATACTGCTGCTGGTAAGTGGCCCAACCTGGAGTAAGATGCAAATCCATGTTTTTTCTTCACTACGCTGACTATTACTGATAGTATGTCAAAGCTCAAGATTTACTCCAAGACCTGTACTCTTAACCCGGGCAATTTGGGGAGGAACATGGCTGCAAGAACCTGGCTACAGCAGGTCAAGAACTTGCAAGTGAAGCTTGATGGGCTCTTATCAGTAGGGCCAGCTGAGCCCCAGGCAAAGAGGTGCTGCCTTTGTGATCTCAAAGGGTGGCCTCAGAGGCTGCCTGCAATTACTCAGCAGGGGTAGGCTCCCCTCACTCCACCCACACTCAAGTTGTCCCTGAAATTGTCCTGCCTTTTAAAAAATGGGGGAAGGGGGTCCACAGAGAAATCTCAACTGTCAGCAAATCCTCTAACCCTGAGTCATTAAGGAAGGAAGAGAAAAGCAGGAAATCTTTCTGTTCAAAGGAACTCAACTTCTAAACACCTACTTACTCCCTAAGGGACACAGATCATAGTTTGCAGTATCAATCAGCAGATCTAAGTGGGATGGAGACCCAGCATAAGGTTCCTTTATTTATGTGAGGGATGTGGTACTTGGTCAAAGTATGGTAAAATGGAAGGCAAAAAAGGTTTGGAAATGCTCATTGATTAGTTATTTTTACATGAAGGATCAGTGGTGTTATCAGCTTACTCCTTACCAGGCTTTATATCAAACTCTTATCTAAAGTGCTTATCTCATTGTATCCCCTATAACTTCATGAGGTGGATACCACTCAGGAGAAAACTCTACCTCAGAAAGGTAAAGTGACTTGCCCAAGGTAACATAGCCAATGAGTGGCAGAGCTGGAACTTGAACTCAAACACTCCAATGCTCCTGCACTTATTCTATGTGCCAAGCCAGGGAATACATTGAAGGAAAATCTGATGCATGCTGACTTCAGTGATTGTGCTGTGAAATAGTTAGTTACCTAGCCCAAGAGCTAGCTAGTGTCATGGAATCCTGTCTGCAGTCAGGACCACTAGCTGCTAACTGTTTAACACAATCTCTGAATAGATAGCAAAAGACTGATCAGCTCTTGTCTCTGTCTACTCATTTTTGAGGATGGTGAGAGGAGAAAAGAAGAGAGGAGAGGAGAGAAGAGAAGTTTTAGAAGCCTAATTTTTCCTGATGGTGTCCACAAGCCAAGCTAAAACAACCCAGAAGCCCACTCTCACCTTCACCTTCTCTGAGGGCTGAACCTAGAACAGAAGGTTCATGGTGAAGGTTAGCATCAAGCAATTGAGATTCTAAGTCTCAGATGTGGGCAGGAAGGCACCTGCATCCTGCCAGACAACACAGATGACCTCATTGAAAGCCACTTCACAGCTTCCCCAGCTTTTCTCCTGCCTCTAAAGAAAACATTTTATTGATTATATCTTAAGACCCTTATTCTGCTACAGCCTTTTGTCACACTTAATCAGAATCCTACAGAATACTCTTGTACCCATTTTCCAGATGAGGAAAATAAAGCCTCAAAAAGTTGAGTGATTTGTTTAAAGTCACATAGCCTGTGAGCAACAGAATTTCGATAATACTGACTTTTAAGTGCAAATTAAATACTATTGCCTTTCTACTCGGGACTGTTCCAGCTCAGCAAACAAGCTTCTTTTTTTGCTCTCAACTCTCTGAGAAGCATGCTCTCTTAGAAGGCCCATTTGTCAAGAAGACAGAAAACCGCAATTGGATTGGAGGTGTCTCTTGATTTCAACAGCTCCTTCAGAATGTCAGAAAGTGGTGCTGAAAACCCTTAAGTTTCAGTCCCGTGTTTCCCTCCCTGGCTCGAAACTGTTCAGCAGAAAGAGAGAAAAACTATTTTCCCAGGGAAACAGCTCTAGCCTGAGACCAGGGCCTGCCTTGACACGCCAAGGAGAGATCGTCAGCCCATTCATTTACCCTTACAAATTACTCGGTGAATCCTGGCGCCGGCCTCCCTGCTCTTCCCCCTCCTGGAAACCCCATCCAGCCTCCATGCTTAGAGAGTGCCAGGCATCCAGCGGTGTTTACTCACTCGAGTTCATTCGACATCTTCCTGCTCCCAGGCTCCGACGGCCGGCACTGAGGCTCCGCTGACCGCTTGTCTTTAATTCTTGCCTGACACAGACATTCCCTGCCCAGGGAAGTGTTTGATTTATGTTGAGGTTTGTGTGTCGGGATTTTGCTGACAGGTAGGTTCCCGGCAGTGTGCTGATTGGCTGTGAGGACAGGTGCCGGCGACAGCAGGTATACCTCAACAGGTGCAGCTGTTAACTCTTGGCTTGCCTTTTAGGGGTGGAGCCACGGGGCCAGCTGGGTGGAGCTGACCAATTCCTTCCTCAGTGAGGGGGTGGGGGGTGGAGATGAGGGAGGAGGGAGGGAGGAAAAAAAAGTTGGAAAGAAGTAAGATGGCTAGAGGAAAAGTACAGGGAAAAACAGATACTGACTTAAATGAAATCTTGAGCCCTATTTCTAGTTAGTATCCTGAAACTTAGGGATACTCTTCCCAAGTATTTTGCTCCCCTCTTTCTCTACCCAGTATCAAATACTTCATAGACACTAGACAGTCTCAACTAGGGAGTGAATCTTCCCTAGCTGGGTGGGTCCCCTCTCTTTTATTCAGATCTTTCCTCTTAAGATCTTATATTCAAACATTTTACATTTATTCCAGCCATTTCTCTGGATTCTCCCTGTAACCCAGTGTGGTAGATATGATTTCTTTCACTGCCGCCTCTATATTCCCTCCTCCCCAGCACACACTTTGCGGGTGCGGGAAAAGAAGTAGCGTGACTTGCTCAAGGGCACGTCAATGTCAGAGCCCAAATCTGAGTCTTTGGTTATCTCACTTCAGGTCTGGTGACCCCTTGAGCTGGAGTCAGTTGGCCTCAATTCAGCATACATTGACTGAACCCCTACTGTGTGTCAGGTTCTGATCTGGGGAGACAGAGGCGAAAAATGCAGGGTCACTGCTCAAGAGGAATTTACAATCTAGGGGGTGTATGCGCATGTGAGGGGGCAGCCTTTTATTTACCATGATACCCATCTGAATAGGATGTGGGCAAACCACATACCTCTCAGACCAGCACAGAAGCAGTGGGAAAGTTGAAAGTCGCCACCTCTGAGCCTTGGTTAGGGGTCATTTCACAAACTCCCAGTACCATGTTCTACATTGAGAAGGGGGGTGGGGGATAAGATACCTGTTTCACTCAGTGATTGTGGAATAATTGCTGTGAGCTGTAAAGAACAAGGTCAGTAAAACCAAGAAGATCCACAAACAGAAAGGAGAGTGCTAGAGCATTTTCCAGAGCTTCCTCTAGGATTAATTTGAAATTAAATCTAAGCCAAGGATCCTTTTTTAAAAAAAAAACCTCTCTGTTCTCCCAACTCCACTCCCCCCCTCCTTCTGCCAGATTATCTCTCTGTTCTGTCTTCCTAAGAGCCTCGCCTTGGCCCACTCCTTTCTCTCTCTGGGGAAGGCGGGGTTTCAGTGACTCCTGCCAATTTAATGGAGACTTTCAGGGTGAAGGCAGAATCTGAAGGAGATTTATTAGAGTGGGCTCAGACCTGCAGAGGAGGCCTTTTACATTCGAGAACTACCAGAGGCTGTTTTCTCACTGGAGGCTGTATTGGGAGAGTCTAGGGGTTCCTGGCAGATAATGCAAAAACAGTGCTAATAAAGTCACCTCATAGAAGCGGCCCTCCTCAGTCACCCTGGTTAAACAGTCCATTGTTCTGTAACACACCACTTGCTGTTCTTGTCAACGTTTTTCTGATTTTTTTTTTAATGGTTCTTTAATGATATTTCTGTACCTATCTTCTGAATATAAGCTTCATGATCGTGAAAGTGAAACTTTGCCTTGTTCACTGCTGAAATTCCATTGCCTACCACTGTGTCCGGCACATAGTAGGTACACTGTAAACAACATATGTTAAGGATTATGCTAAACTTTTATGTGCATTATCTCATTTATTCCTTGCAAGAATTGTGTAAATTAGGCAATTTCATTACCCCTATTTTATGAATGAGGATTCAGGCACAAAATGAATAAATAAGCTACTCAAATGGCACAGCATGGAAATGGTAGAGCTGGGATTGGATGCAAAGGCAGAGCCTGGATGCCCAGCCATTTCACAGGGGTTGTTGATAACAGGAAAGCCATTTGGTGCCAACCTGTAGCTGCAAAACTTACCGCAGCCCAAGGGATGGCACACTTCTCTGTATGTACCTGTCTCCCTGCCTCCTGGAAGGCTGTGGAGTTTCTGTCAACCGTGTTGCAATGCACAGGTGAAGGGCTATGGGGGTGACTCACACTGGCTGGGCTCAGAGAGCCTGGGATTCCAGGTGGCATGTCGGTGCTTGCTGGGCCTTTTTAAATGGGCCCTCTCCCTCTACCTCTGGGCCCAGCCTCTTTAATCACCCCCACCCATCTGCAGAGGCCCAAATCAAGGAACAGAAGATTTTTGTGTCTATGCACTTGAGACTCCCCAGGAGGTTCCCTGGAATAGGATGGAGAGATGGCAGGGATGCATGGACTAGTTTGCAAGGGTCTCATCCCCTTCCAGCAGAAATTAGACCTCCGGGTTGAGAGGCATGAACTGTTCATGCCTCTGTTGAATGACTCAGTGATGCAAAGGCCTTAAGAGAGCCACTGCCCAGGCTCTGCTCCCGCCCCCTTCCTGCTCCTGTGGAACAGAGGCATAACCCAGGGCTATGCTGGGCTGGCATCTCTTCCCCTTGAATAGGCTCAGTTTTTGATTTCTAGGCCAACCAGTCACATATGACATAATGGTTATGTTCACAGTAATAACAGTAAATAATGATGACTGCAATTTATTTACTACTTATAGGTTGCAAGCCCTGTTATCTGATTTTATTGTTCTGAAATTAACAGACCTAAGTTTGAGTCCCAGTCTATCTGCTTATTTTGTGATATTAGGTCAGCAACTTAGATGTCTTTAAAATAAATGTTGTTGTCGTTGTTGTTGTTATGTACCATCGAATAGCCTGTGACCCATAGTGACCCAATGTACAGTAGCTCCGAACCCTGCCCTATCCTGAACCAGTCTCACTAATTAGTGAACTACTTAGAATGGCCCTTCCAGCCATAGGGAGCTCTGGTGGCTAAGTGAGACTCCAAATGGATGTGAATAGCCTATCAAGGAGTTGAGACAATTTGCTAATAATACAAATGGAGTGCAGAGTGAGGGAGCTCCGGTGGTGGAGTCCAAAGGTTTTCTTCTTTGGTACTTTGAATTTACTGGCTGCCCTGAGATAGAAAGATGGGCCTCAAGTGTCATTTACAGCTTTAGAAACCCACTAGGAGGTCAGCTATGAGTCAGATCTGACTCCATGGTACTGAGACAAAGAGGGGAAGGGAGAGGGAGAGGGAAGTGCATGCATGTAGGTAAAATCATGCAAATAAAATGTGTCAAATGGTAGCAAGGGGATGGGTTATTTCTGTCATCCTGTTAGGCTTAAAATGAATCATACCAGAGGCAGAAAGATGAGGAAAGAGAGGTTGAGTACCACCAAGAAGAGAAGACAAGAACTGAGTGTATTCTTTGCACCCAGGGTTTCTATACTAGAGAGATTTGTGACCCCTCTACCAAGGAGAAAGACAGCAAGAAGTGGTGACAGAGAAACAGGCAACAGAAGCAGAGTCACCACCTCCAAGTTAAAGCTTCCTGATGAAGTAGGGTGCTTCTGAGCATTTATTTGCAGCTTAGATCTCTTAACTCCTGCTGAGGAGGGTACAGGCCATGCATGCTAGACTAAGGGAGGCCAGCCCATAGGCCCAGCAGAGAAACTTCTTTTCCTGATCAAAGAAAAATTTTCTATGTCATTTCTAATCTTGAATTGTAACTGATGACTTCCCTAATAATTCCCTATGATAGTAGCTTGTCTGTGAATTCTTTGTGTCCATTGCAGAAAAAGCTGGCAGAGAAATCTTTGCTGAAAGTGAAGAGGACTTAAAACACTTACTGAAGCAGTTCAACGACAACAGCCTTTGGATTTTTTTAGTATAAATAAGCATAGAACAACAGTTCTTGCAACTGAACCAATAGATACCACCATCATAAATGGAGATGTGATTGAAATTGTGATTTCATTTTACTTGGATCCATAATCAACACCCATGGAAACAGCAATCAAGAAATCAAAAGACGTTTTGCACTTGACAAATCTGCTCCTAAGGACTTCTTGGAAGTGCTAAAGAGCAAAGATGTCACTTTGAGGACTAAGGTGCGCATCATCCAAGCTATGTATTTTCAGTTGTTTCATATGCATGTGAAAGTTGGACAGTGAATAAGGGGGATGGAAGAAAAATTGATACCTTTGAGTTGTGGTGTTAGTAGTTATATCATGGACTGCCTAACGAACAAACAGATCTGTCTGGGGAAAACTACAGCTAAAGTCTTCCTTCAGGGTGAGGATGATGAGACTTAGTCTCCCATAATTCAGGCATGTTGTTGGAAGGAGGCCAGGCCCTGGAAAAGGACTTAGGTTTAGAAAAGTAGAGGGTCTCTGAAGAAGAGGAAAAGGCCTTGATTAGATCAGCACAGTGACCATAACAAGGGGTTTAAGCACAGAGCAATTCTGAGGATGATGCAGGGTTGTGCAGTGTTTTGTTCTCTTGTACATACATTCACTGTGAGTCTGGGTCAGTTCAGCAGTGCCTAACAACAGTAACAGCAGAGAGGCTGGACATGCCAGGGGAGTGACCATATCTAACCTACATCTCAGAGGAATCCGTGATGGGTTGATGCTGTCAATGGGATTCTCTTATCATGTTAGAGCAGGTGAGATGCCTCCCTGCCACCGTTTAAGCCCCTCGAAGGGTAAATGTGAGGAGTGAATGAGCTCATGTGTGAAGTGCTTTATGCAGTGCCTAGAACACCTGTTAGGTGCTGTTGGTTGACTCTGAGTCATAGGACCTTGTGCAAGAGAATAAAGCATCGCCTTGCACCATGGCAGTTGCTGCTATGCTTACAGAGCCCATTGTTGCAACCACTGTTTTATTCTGTCTCTTTGAGGGTCTTTCTCTTTTTAATTGACCTGCTATCAGGCATGATGTGTCGTCTCTCCAGGAATTGTCCCTGTGTGAACCTGCCCATAGTAGGGGAGACAAAGCCTTGCCCTCCTTACCTCCAAGAACCATACTGGTTACACCTCTTCCAAGACAGATTTGTTTGTTCTTTTGGCAAATCCATATGTTGTGGTCCATATTCTTCATCACTGCTGTAATTGAAAAGCATTAATTATCCTCTGGT